GTGTATACTGTGCATATATGTTTCTATTATTGGTTGATGAATAAAGCTGTTTGGGCCAATGGACAGGCAGGATGTAGACAGGCAGGAATTATAGGCAAAACTACTAGACTAGGAGAATTCTGGAAAGAGGAACCCAGAGAGGGAGTCATGGGAGAGACACTATATAACTACTGGGAAGGTAGGACACCCAGGCATTCTCCAGTAAGACAAGACCACATGGAGACACACAGTTAATAGAAATGCATTAATGATGAAGAGAGAACTAGCCAGTAAGAAGCATGAGCCATCAGCCAAACAGCTTATCATTAATACAAGCCTCTGTGTGTTTATTTGGGACTAAATGGCTGTGGAACCAGGCAGGACAGAACTTTCATCCACAGAGAGATGCAAAACCATTCACTCAAAAGCTGACAAGATGATTTAAGATGTTCTCTTTTTGTAACCACTACTGTTAGGAGAGTGTCATGTGGTCATGGGTGTAACGTGTACTCTTCCCGCCAGCCGCCTGGGTCCTGCAGCTGTCTCAGCCCCCAAATAACACACAAAACACTATATTAATTATGAAACTGTTGGTCATTTGCTTGGTTTCTTAAGCTCTGACTTAATTATTAACCTATAACTGCTAATCTGAGTATTTCCACGTGGTCTTCTCTTACCGGAGAAAAGGTCCGGACCTCTTATTCCTCTGGTGTCCTATCTCATGACTAACTGCGCCTCTGTTTCCCAGAATCCTCCTTGACTCCTAGTCCCACCTATCTTGCTTCCCTATTGGCCAACAGTGCTTTATTTAATAAACCAATAAGACAGCATATACACAGGAGGACTTCCCCCATCACAGGGGGAACCTCCAGATTCCCACTGTGGGGGGAGCAAGATAACTCAACCATATACCAAACATTCTGCTTTACTTGGGGGGACCATATGAGGTACTCACGGGCTTTCACCCTACTGCCTCTGAGCGTCAATGGGATTTGGTTATACTGTAGCTCACTTAAGAACAAAGATACAGCTTGAGCTAAAATGTGATGTATTCCATAGATTTCAGCACAGCTCAGTGTGGAGAGTAGATGTATGTACACAGACACAGACACAGACACACACACACACACACACACACACAGGGAGAGAGAGAGAGAGAGAGAACCTCACACCCTTGTTTAGCCATGAACGAAGAAGGAAAGGAAATAGACTCTCCAGTAATTTTTTTCCTTTTTTATTAAAAATAAATGTTTTTCCATACAATCTATTTTGATCATGTTTTCCCTCCCCTCTGCTGAGAGTGTTTATCATTTATTACAGAAGTAGCAATGAATATTCTAAGTGTCAACCCGCCAGAATTAACTTCTGATGGTGAAAACTTGCCCTTGCGAAGACTGCAAGAAATACAGACTCCAGAATATCTGTACTTCTGCCTGTAATTTTAAATGTGCTGATTTCATTCCTTCCCTAGCCTGTGTGTGTGTGTATGTGTGTGTGTGGGTGTGTGTGTGTGACAAATGCATTCCCAATCTACTGTGGGAAGTCAGGAGGATGGCTGTTCATTTGGGTGTATAATCTTGATATGTAGAATATACGTTGGGTGCCTGAATTCTCCAAAAGGCCCCAGGGAAAGGAAATCCTTCTCACTTGGGGGTCAGCAGGAACAAAGCCTCCCATGGGCCCAGAGCCTGGAAATGCCAGGCGCTGGATTTCACACTACTTAGCCCCTTCCTCTAAACTGTCCCTTGTCAGATTTCCTCAGGTGCTCCGCAACCACACCCTCTCTGAGTCAGCAAGGTAACAGGCGCCTGCTTTGTCAGCCTTCTCGTCGTCCTGGCCCTGAAAACTGCGTGCCTGGGGTCCTTGCTATTGCCAGAGAACCGCTAATTGTGTCTGCGTGGTAACACTCCCTGGAAACGTTGTGGGGTGGAGGAGAACTTTTGAAAAAGAAAGGGACACGAGGAGGACACCTGCCTGAGCTGACTCCTTCACCTTAGGATGGCTTTAGCCCGTCCCGCACTTGCTGCTTAGCGTCCTGCCTGAACCCTGAGGGGAAACGGAGGCTGGCACTCGGAGGTCCCGACCCTCCCCTACCTCCCCCACCTTTCCGGTCTCATGGCTTCTCTGTCTCTCTTTGGAAAAAAAAACCCAGGCAAATAAAAAAATTTAAATGCACAAAGAACACAAACAAAAAAATAAATACACAACATTGGAAACAACAATATGTAAGTAAGATAAAAAAAATGTCCAAACAAAAGAGTATGAGACAAAAATCTACAAGCCTTGTGTTGGCTGTGTACTGCTGGGCATAGAGTCGACCCTTAAGTGTTGCTTGTGTACCCAGTAAGAGTCCCTTGGAAAAGTGGCTTCTCTTTTGCAGTTGTCGTTTGTAGACAGCTCCTTGGTTAGGGGTGGGGGCTCATGCCCAGTCGCCCTTGCCAGTGCTGGGACCCTGTTTGGCCTGACCATGTGCAGGCCGAGTGCATGTTTCCGTATGTATCTGTGAGTCCTGTTGCGTCTGGAAGACACTGCATCCTTGGCGCCATCCATCCTCTCCGCCTCGTAGAACCTTCCTGCCTCATTTTACGCGAAGCAACCTGAACTCTGAGAGGACAGTTTGATGAGACGGAGCTGTGTCTGATCCTCTTGTGGCACTCCTAACAGGGAGGCAGGGGCTGTGTCTGACTCTTTCACTGGCTTTTGGGACCCTGTTCCTCGTATTGGGCCACCTTGCCCAGGTTTAGTACATGGAGAGGCGCTTAGTTTTACTGCAACTTGATATGCCGCGTTTTGTTGATACTCATGGGACATCAGCCCTTTCCTGAACAGAAACGGAAGAGGAAATGGATTGGGGTGGAACCTAAGGGGTGGGTAGTGGAAGGGACCAGGAGGAGAGGAGAGAGGGAGGGAGAGAGAGAGAGAGAGAGACAGAGACAGAGACAGAGACAGAGACAGAGACAGAGACAGAGACAGAGACAGAGAGAGAAGGGAGGGATGGAGGGAGGGGAAGGGAGGGAAGAAGGAAGGAGAGATTATGTTTAAAAAGAAATGGAGCTATATGATTTATTTGACAACACTTCAAACTAGTTGTCACACAAGTACACGGGAGGGTTATGAGAACTATGTAGTCTACAAAGTCTACAAATTAAATGGAATTGCAACAAGGAGATCGGAAGCACCATCTAAAGCACGTTGTTTTGTTTGGTTTCCATGTTGAAACTGGGTACCAAGCCCAAGACCTTGCACTTACTATGCAAGGACTCTCCACCGACCTAACTTCTCAGCCCCTTTCCACAACGGGGGGGGGGGGGAAGAGCACTGTTGGCAGGAGTATTCATTCTACAGCCCTTATTGAGGATGATGGTCCTTCAAAGACACTCTTCCACCCTGCTCATGATCGTACGATCCGACAGTCTCAGTACTGGGTCTACATCCACAGGAAGCAGAACGAGTCTGTCAAACGGTGCCACCGTACTTAACTATAGCACTATTTTCTACACTAGCCAAGACCAGAAGTCACCTGATAGGTGAGTAACTAGCTGTGCCTGGCGCCTGCTCTTTTGCCCCAGCTCGATGGGAATTGCTGAAGAAGCACAGCCACTGGGTGTTTTCCGTAGTCAGACAACAGGAGCGAGGCCCATGTTCACAAAAACAAATCGTATGATCCTGGGCAGGCCTGTAGGCTACAGGCTGCCCGCAGCTCATGCTCCCTGTAGAGACAGATCTTCAAGCGAGTGGTAAGGGATGATCTTACAGAACATGCTTATCTTCCAAATAAAAGTTGCACCATTATTTTGAATATGGTGTTGAAAGTTTAGTTGGATTCAGAACCCACCCATATCAATGTATGACATTCTCAGTCAAAGTAAAAGCTTTAATTATTAATTCAAGTTTTAGCTCGAAACTCATTCACGCATTCTTTATGTTATCATGCTATTATAAAAATTATGATAATCTCATGTCCTTATAATACTGTGTGATTATTAAGATGGTGGAAGTCTCGTGTAGACAGACATCTCACTAAGTGTGGAATGATCGGTTAGGAAATGCTAGACGCCTCCTTCTGCTAAGTTCCAAAAGGCCCCTGACAGGTGGGCACATGTGAACTTAGCAACTGTGTCCATGCTAGAAACTCCAGAATCTCTAGTGTCAGAGTCTGTGTGGCCAGTCTCAAAGTCCAGTTACTTCGGGGTTGAGGCGGGGGCATGGGGCGGTGTATGCGTGGCAGTGGGCTCCAGGCACTATCTCCAAAGTCCTAGCTTTTTGCATCATTCCAGTCAGTGACACGCCTTTGCACTCTCTGGGATTCACAGCTGAGGGCTGGTTCTTTAACATGTAGGAGCCACCTTGGGGTTGGTCCATTAACATATCAGAGCTTGCCTTGGGCTTGGCTTATATCAGAGCTGCTTAAGGCTGGCTCCCTTACACACATTTGCAAGGGTGGCATTATTCCAACTCACACAAACAAGATGATTTTACACAAAATGGGTTCCACTGACGTTCCTAACACAACGATTATAGCGCTATCATTATTGACCCAGTATTACCAATTAGGAAACTAAAGCGTGGAGAAACAAAACAATTTGTCCAAGTTAATATAGCATGTAAGTGGGAAGGCCAACATTCCATTCCAGTTTGGCCCAGGGCCCGTGATGCAACTTTGCCTCCCGACTCTCTTTCTAAAAGCAGAAAGCAAGCCAGACATGCTGGTGCATGCCTGTAATCACAGCAACTGGGAAGCTGAGACAGGAATGTGACCAAGAATTGGACTCCAGCCTCAGCAGCATGGGGAGACCGTGCCTCACAAAGCTCAAACTGAAGCAAGTGACCCACATGAATGCCTGAGACTAACAATAAAGGTATTTCAGATCTAAAAAAGAATTTCCAAGAATTATAATGGTGGACTGGCAGAATTGACCAGTGCTTACCTACGTGTGGTATACCCTGAAGATTGGTAGTACGGTCCTTGTTACAAACCTCAGTAAAAAGGGTGTAACTGAGAAACAATATCTCACTTGCAATTTTGCTCTGCAAACGTGCTGATTCTGTTCATTTTAGTTGGCTTCGGTTTACTGGATAAGGAGTGAGTTTCGGGACAGGTTCCATGAGACAAATTGTGACAGAAGGCTACCATCTATGGTCTTCCTCCTCACCCCCTTTTCCACAGTCAGCTTCGGCATTCCCTATGAGTAAACACTGGAGAAAAAACATTGTAGGCATAAGGGGATGCCAAATAATCAATCTACCCGGGAAGTCGCTGGCACCAAAGCTCAGTCTCTATCGGTTCGGTGACAACAGTCCTCACTGGGCATTGTCCAGCATGGGAATGCATAATTGTCTCCTAGGGTGACTTCCTTGAAAATGAGTCCCGAATAGAGGATTCAGGGAAGAAACTGGCATGGATACGCGTGCACAAGTGCCTGCCTCCCTCTGTTACCCACTCCCGGTAAGAGTGACTGGCCCCTGAGTCCAGCTCTCTTCAAACCCGATGGAAACACCTCCTCCCCTTTGGATGTAGGAGAGGTCCAGGTGGACTCATCTATTTACCGCAACACTCCTCCAACCGAGAGTCTCCTTACCTGCCCGTGCTCCCTCTGACATCAGTGACGTGATCCTTGACCAGTAGGTTCCTGTCTGTGGCGGCGGTACACCTCACAGGTGCTCCTCTTCAGCTGTCCTTTACTGATTCCCATCTGCGGATAATGGAGGACTAGGAGACAGGAAATGGAATGGGTTCTAAACCTTAAAGATCCTCTGGTTTCTCTCCAGACCCTATCAATCTTTTGCCATTTATTAAGTTACAAGGGTTTTCTCAAGTCATATATAGAAACAAATTTATGCTTAAAGTTAAAACCATTTGGCAAAGTTAGTGTTATTTCTCAAGAATTTAATTTCTAAGTTATCATTCCACTCATGGTATCAATTTATTTTCAAAATTGGGTGTAATAGTCTTTCACGTTCTATCTGTCTATCATCTATCTATCTATCTATCTATTTATCTATCTATGTATCATCTATCTCTATCATTTTCTTAGTTGGAACATTTAAGGAAAGTATTAAGTCTTCGAGTTTCTTTGGCTGTTTTCCTCCCTAAGGGAGGAAAATTAGAGTGTTATGTTAACAAATATCTTTCTTTTTACTATGGTCTCATGGCTGTGACTGGATCTATTTTTTTTACCTGAAGAGAGAAGAGTTTTCTTTTTGGCAAAGGACATTGGCATAGTTGAGTAGGTTGTGGCAAGGGGCCATGTCTCCTAGCAATGAAACTTGTGTAATGCCATGAAGTGTGAAAAAGCATTTTTGATTGAAGCACAACATGGACACTCCCAAACAGCCTTAGGGCATAATTTTAATATAGTCATAGTTTTATATTGTAGCAATGTCTGCTCAAAAAATTATTTTCTCCATACTTAAATGAAAACTATAGCTTTCTACTCAAATCTTTCCTTTAACTATAGGCACATGAAAATTATGAAAACTTTCTAATGAAACCAATTGAGAAATCATCCTTCATTTTCTGGGTTATTTTTAAAATGAGTAATGACATTTTAAAATTCCCAAGTCAAAGGTCATATATTAATTATACGGAAAGGAAAGAATGAAAACAATGATATTAGGAATTTCCTCTGAGTCAGTAAACTTAAAACATTATAAACAACTAAAAGGCACAGTAAAAGAGAGTAGAGAAAATACAGCATGCTTGGGAAGTTTATTTCGATCTTAACTGAAAATAAGACTGTAACAGTACACACATGCACATATACACAGGAAATCCAAAAGCAATGTAAATTTCTTTGCACCAGAGTTAATGCAAGCAGATTGGTAAAACTGGCCCATCTCTTCTCCAAACATATGTTACACTTATTTACTAACCCTTTCAATCAACACTCTATAGCAGACACTTCAGCTCCACAGATTGCAAAGTTGGAAGCTATAACTTTTGTAATTCTCTCAGTAGGTGATACTAGATATGTAGTAAATATTTTATTACATACTAATTAATTAACCTAATCTTACATTTCACTAACAGATTCCATATCTAAAAGTGGTGAGAAAATGCACTCTCATCCTGAAGTCTCGAGGAATAAAATGATTTCTGGTCATCACTGCAGTTAACTTAGCAAGGTTAAACCAGGATTCCCCTCGCCATTCTTGTAAGTCCAGCACGTGGTTCGGTGTCTGTCTGTCACCCCAATTCCCTTAAGAAACCTTGATCACCCTAGGATACACATGACTGACGAGTCAAATATCTTCATATCTGCGTTCACGTGTTCTTGTCACCTTTATCCCATGTTGGTTCGTTATTTTGATAGCCAGGTACTAAAACCATCGAATCAGAAAAATAAATCCTCTGGCTTTCTACTGATAACATTCCAGTGCTGGCCACACATGCTCTCAGGACATCTTGTGTTTTTTTTATCCTCACTCCTCATTTCCTCATCTCCTTCTCTCTCCAATCTTGTGTTCTTGTTTGCTGTACACAAGTTTGATTCTCTTCATCCTCTGTCTACAGCGTGTTCACTTTTCCTGGCCCGTGTTTTCCTCTGTCAACTTCTCTAAAAAAAATCCAAATCTTGATCAATGTAAAGCCCCATCCAGTGTCAAAACTGCAGAATAATGGTAGCAAAAAATCAGGCAGATTTGTATTACATTACGGATTGCTAACAGTGGGAAATAACCTGGTTTTTTTTTTCTCAACTTAGATTCTGTTTGGCCAAAAATTGTCTATAAATGTTTGTTTCCTGCACTCTACAGCATCAAAGAAAGCAGTAATGTGGTGGGTTTCTATCATCCTGTCTTTGAATGGGAGGTGGCATCTTCTTACAGACGCCAGCACTGTGTGCATGCAGTGCATGGCCCAAGGTGGGGAGCCGGACCAAGCTTAAGTAGCCCTTATTTCCTAATCATTCTGAGAGAGAACAGAAATATTCCCAAAGCCAATGTAAACAGAGTCCTTCTAGAGAAACATTTTAACTGTTGACTGAGAAGACCAGTCAAGAAAGGAAGAAGAAAAAAATGAAAAGAGAAAGCAACTGCGATTGCCGCAGAGATGTGTAAACATGAGTGCCCACGCTATTCCCTGAGGCCAGAAGACACAGTTAAATGTCTCTGATGGTGACCTAGGTTCTTGACCAGTCCATGTAAATACTCACAGTTCTCCCTGCACTTCCTACACACTGGAATCCATTCATTCTGAAGATGACCCTAACCTCCACTTTAGAGAGAACCCATGAGTCATGAAAGAGGAACTCCTACAAATTCTGGACACCACACCTGAAGAGCCTCCCACACCCACATCCCTGCCTTCCTCTCCTAGGACAGAGTGAAGAGGAGCAGCCCCTCGGCGCTCTGGGTACAGCCCTCCTCAGGCATGGCCTGAGCTTCTGGTAACTTTTTCCCTACTTGCCTCAGTCTTGTTCTCAATGCTAACTCTTTCCTGTCACTACAAGATTACTCTCAAGTCTCACAAATTTCAACCAGTAAAAGACAATGAAAACGATGTTTTCCTGTGTCTTGAAGTGCTTTCCTCCACTAGATTAAGGTTTCAGATTAAACTCTTTGATTCGTTTCCGTTTTGTGCCGCATCAGATATTTGGATATGATCTCATCCTTCTATGGGTGGATATCCAGTTTTTCCAGAGTGATTTATTGAACTGACTCTTTTCCGGTGTCTGTATTTGACACCTTTGTAAAAAAAATAAAAACAAAAAAAAGAGTGGTGGCAAGATATAGGCGCAGGCAAGAACTCTCTGGAAAGAACTCAACACGGGAAATGACAACAAGAATTAACAAGTGAAATTACATTAAATATAAAACTTTCTACACAGCAAAGGGAACTATCAGTAAACGGCCTGACCTGGCTATGTCGCTCTTGAACACACACCCAAAGGGCTGGCCCTGTGTCCTACCAGATACATACTTGCACACCCACAACTGCTGTTGTCTTCTTAAACAATGCAGGGACTAGCCTAGATATCCACAAGCAGAGGAACAGATAGCAAAAAATGAAGCAAACACACACAATGGGACTGTGTTCATTGTAAAGAAAAATGAAGTCTTTCATGAAACTTGCAGGAGAGTGAGCAAGACTGGAAAGCGTTGCATGAAATCGCCCATCCTCAGAAAGACAGACATAGTGTGCTCTCTCTTTCATGCAGCCCATAGCTCACGCATGCGCGTCAGTGGCGGTAAAAGATGCAAAACAAGACCGTTATGGGGGAAGGACGCAGAAGACACGGGGGATTACATGGCGTGAAGGTGGGGAGGAGGCTCTGGGAGGAAGAACATGTACAGGAGGGAGATCTGACAGGAAGATGGAGGAGGAGACGGGGGCGGAGAATCAATAACAAAAAAATCATCTGAAGTGTCACAAAGAGACCCCAAAAAATGTGGATGCTAACTGCTGGCTTTCATTTGAAATGTGTTCCCAGTGGTTTGTCCTCCAAGTTCCAGGCCGAGCTGTCTTCTCCACATCACAGTCAAGGGTGCCTCCCTTTCTTTGAGCCGGGTGCACAAAAACATAATAATTTATGGAGCGTGATGCTGTTGGTCACCATGAAAAGCCTACTTCAATATACTCATTGGTTGATTCCTTACTTTAAATTCTGAAACGTGCCTAACTTAGATCTTCCAAGTAACCATCCTAACACTATCTCTAGCCCTTCCTGTCCAGGTGCCGTCCTCCTAGAGACCATGTCAGTAATTCAGTGTCTTTCATATGGGTGTGTTAAATATACATTAAACTAATAAATATGTACATAGTATATACTATGCATAGTATTTCCACAGAGGTTCTTGTCAGCTTACTGTGTTGCATCCCAATAAGCTCTAAGTGAGTTGAAAATGTCATGACCTGGAGGGCAAAATACGGGAAACATTTTTCAAATTAAAATAATCAATTAGCACTCACAGTATTGGGTCTCTCTGTGGCCTTTCAAATGAGGTTTTGTGACTCTGAGAAATAAAAAGCAAGTGTTGACAAGGATGTGAAGAAATCGGAGGCTTGTATCATTTAATGGAAACGCAACACCACGGTGCGTCAGCTGTGAAGTGACAAACTTGGATCCTGTGTGGGTTTGAGCTGGGTCCTCTGCACATCCCTTGTGGCTGTGTAGCGTGGCGTTCCTGTGGGACTCCTAACAGTGGGAGGGAGGCAGGGAGGAAGGCAGGGGTTCTTTGACTCTTTAGGCTGCACTTGGGGTTCCTTTCCTCCTGGTGGGGTGTGTCGTCCAGCCTTGATATAAGAGTTTGTGCCTTGTCTTATGTCATCTCGTTATGCCATGTTCCGTTGATGTCCCTTGGTGGCCTGCTCCTTTCCGAAGGGAAACGGGGGGTTGGGGGGGCTGTGGATATCGGGGAGAATCGAGGTAGAGGATCTGGGAGGAGTGGAGAAAGCAGAAACTAATGTTGGGATCTGATGTATGAAAGGAAGGAAAGAAGGAAGGAAGGAAGGAAGGAAGGAAGGAAGGAAGGAAGGAAGGAAGGAAGGAAGACCTATGCAAACTCCTCAGGAAATTAAAAAATACAGTCACCATACTATTTAATTAGCAGTTTCATTTCTGGTGTATGTTCAAAAGAACTGGATGTAGGTCCTCTAACAGGTTCATTCCGGCTTCATAGTATCATTTTCCATAACAGACAAAGGTGGAAGAAACCCAAATGCTTATTGATGGACGAATAAGTAAAGAAAACATGGTGTATCCATACAAATAGAATGCTGTTCCTCTTTCAAAGAGGAAAACTCTGGTACATGTTACTTCATTAATGGACCTTTAAAAACATTGTTCTAAGTGAAATAAAAACAATCATAAGAATACGGACACAACATGGTTCTACTTATGGAGTGCCTCACATGCTTAAATTCTGAGATTTGGAAAACATCCGAGGATTTCTAGGGACTTAGTGGGGGGTAGTTAATGGAAAGATACTGTTTAATGGACACACAGCTTCTGTTGTTCATGGAGAGTTCTAGAAATAGATAGGGGTGATGATTGCACAACAGTATGAATATGCTTAATACCAGTGACTTGTACTCTTAATGATTTACATGGAAATCGGTGATAAGTATTTTACCACAACTAAAGAAATTTTAAGTGAAGAATACCAATGCTATTCTGTGTCATTGGCAGAGCTTTCCTGTTTCACAGAGACACTTGGAATCCATTCTGTTGGTTTCCATTCTATCACCCTCAGGACTTGCTTAGCTTTCAGTGTAGAAGTATGCTACTTACACTCCCACAACAGGTTCCTGTTCTCCAGTACAATTTCTGAAAAGTATTCTGCATGAGAAACTTCTTTGCTATGCTTTGCCCAAAAACTTGTCACCAAGTATCCGCTTTCAAGTTCATATTGGTGTCTTCTGCTTTCATATCTGTCACTATGCAGTTTATTACAACACAATATAGGCCAGCGTTGTAAGCAGTGACTTCATTGCTGAAAACTTTTGGAGACAGTGGCCATGAGAGCAAGCCATGCCCTCTCTCTGAGATTGTACATTCCTTTGCTTTAGCAACAAATAAGAGCAGGTTTCACCACCCATTAATTTATACATCTCATACTATTGCAATGTTAAGCTACCTTCTTTGGTTAAATAAATAAAGGGAGGTAACCTACCTGACCAGGTGACAAAACTGGGCATTAAAAAAATCAGCATTTATTCTTTCATGTGTGTGCTCCTACACGAGCCATGCCTCCTATGTGCGTATTGGGAGACAACTTGAGGAAGTTATTTCTCTTCTTCAACCATATAGGCTCGAAGGACCAAACTTACGTCACGAGGCTTAGCAGCAATTGCCTTTCGCTCTAATTTATTTTTTATGCAACATCTAGGCATCTCTGTCACCTGAGCTTTTAGTGGGATTCAGAATTAGAAATTCGAAAGTCATTTTCCTCTCACGCATTTTCAAGGATTGCTATTCATTTCTAAACGTGTCTGCAGCAAAGGTTCAGTCACAAGTTTGGTCAGAACTCCAAGTTTTTCTAGAAAGGTTGTTATGTTTTTCTCTTGTAAATATTTGGAAGTTCTTGTCACATTAGAGACAAAAATAGCTAGGCTCAGAGGAATTTTATTATTGGATTTTCTCTAGTTCTAATAGACAACTCATTGACTTGAAACTACTTATTGATTATGTGTGCATATTTTTCTCTGCCAACTACTGTAGAGATATTTTTCTCTGCCAACTACTGTAGAGAAAATAAATAGTACACTGGCATGGATTTATTGTATGACTAGGTAGATGACCTCCATTCAAATTCAAGAATCTAATTTCTGCAATAAAAATAGCCTTCTAATCAGCTAAGGAAAAGTCAATACCAGCACTTTCATTGGATATCTTTGAACAAATAATTGGAATTTTCCAGCCTAATTTGGCTGTATAATGTATTTAGAGATTAGAAATATTCATTTTGAATCTTAATCAATTTGAAGAGGTCACAAAATATTGCAATAATTAAATAATTTGCCATGTTTTCTTCCAGTTCTGAGTCCTGTTTTGAAAATCTAACCAAAAAATGCAGAAGGTGGTGGCACATGCCTTTAATCTCAGCATTCAGGAAGCAGAGGCAGGTGGAGTTCTGAGTTTGAGGCCCGACTGGTTTACAGAGCAAGTTCCAGGACAGCCAGGGATACATAGAGAAACCCTGCCTAAAAAAAAAAGGAAGGAAAAAGGAAGGAGGAAGAAGGAAGGAAGGAGGAAGGAGGAAGGAAGAAGGAGGAAGGGAGGAAGGAGGAAGGAGGAAGGAGGAAGGAAGGAAGGAAGGAAGGAAGGAAGGAGGAAGGAGGAAGGAAGGAAAGAAAGAAGGCAGGCTATCAATAGCTACTCCTCTGTGTGCCAGGCCCAGAATCTGGGTTAAGCCTTGGGCAATCTCCATGAGATAGTAAGATAATTATCTACCCAGATATAGGTCTTCAAATCAACCAAAAGTACATCCCTGATTTTAACAAAAGCACCTCAACATTATAGTTTTTATTGACAACACAATATAGATCATGCTTAATGAGCATTGTTTATTCTCTGAAAGACAAGATTAATCCACTAATGGATACTTTGCTTGATTTGGGAACATAATTTTCTTAAGTGGTTGCCTGTAATAATGCATTTAGACACCCATATATTTATACTTTTGTCTCTCATATATATCAGAGAAATATAATTACAATATGTCACTTTGACCACACTTTCTATACAAGCTGATGCTGAAATATCTATCTTGAGAAATATTAGAGTGTTTTATTTATTCTAAACTTTGTGAATAGATTTCTCATCACCTCACTTGGCATCTTTGGGGAGAGTCCCTCAGATTTAGCCCTTTCTAAAAGTATAATTAATGATCTAATTGGCCTATTCAGTCCATGGTTTTTGTTTAATACATAAAACTGCACATTTTGCTGCTGAGCTTGTTTCTGTTTTGCTGGAGACAAACCAGAAGCTTTTTTTAAATATGTGCTTGTCAGGTGTGTGACACACTTAGTGTGAACCTTTTATGGTAACTGTACCCTTAGCTACATCTTAATCTCTTAGCTAGATCTTACTTTACTAATATTTACCTTATTCTATGTTTATGTAAAAACAATTTTTGTTCCTTCCAAGAAAATAGGTAGTCTAACATGAACAAAAACGCATTACAGAAGCAAACAACCAACACGCATCATGTGGCCCCCCCACGGTCCTAAGCTATTACGTCATGCTGTATATGTGGACGTATAAACAAATCCCAAATTCTCCAATAAAAGTTCACTCAACACATTTCTTGCCTTTGATGTGCTTTGTACTACATTCCCCATATTTTTACCTACTATTTCTATGAGGGAAGAGGCAAATTCTGCTTGTCCTGGCTTCTACTATCTAAGCAGACACTCTGGGGGGCTTGCACCTACTCCCTAGCAGTTATTAAAGGCCAATACCACCCACCCCAAACAAATTCATTGCCCCTTCCATGGGGAAGCTATGATTTGCAAATGCATTTACCTCATGTGTATCAGACTTCAGAGTCTAGCAGTCACGTTTTCATACTGGCTCACCCCAATTGGCGGTGTAAGAATACAGTAATCCAATAGATAGGGTAACCCTTTCTAAGACAGTAGTTTATCCTTTTCCTAGGCAGCCCCTGCCATTGTCCAAGGAGCTTATTAATAAAGCAACCGTGGTGACAGTAATGGAGGTCCTGCGTGCACTCAACAGCATGGACTTCCGCTGACTTTGCGATAGCTCATCCCGAGTGCCAAACTGAACATAAGCAGAGACCAGCAATAATCCTCTAGCACAGCGCCATTCTCCGGGGTGATCAGCGACCTACATTGGAGCACTTTAGTCAGGGAAAGAGCACAAATCTGGCCCTGTAGGAATAGATACAAGTTCCAGGTATGGAGTTGCTTTTCATGCACAGGATGCTTCTGGGAAAGCTACAACCCATGACTTACTGGATGCTTTATCCGCTCTTGCGGTATTCCACACAGCGTCGCTTCTGACCTGGAGACTTTCTTCACAGCCTATGAAACGTAGCTTATCGTGTTTTGTGGAACTCACTGGTCTTTCTATGTTCCCTACCATCCCGAAGCAGCTGTCCGGAGATAATAGCAGTTGGCCCTGTAAAGAAACACAGCATCAACGATATGAAAATAACCTAGATGTCTGTGGAAGAGAGTTCTCCAGAAGACTGTAACTGTTTTGAGTAAGTGACCAATACACGGCATCATTTCTCATGCAGCTAGGATTCACAGGTTCAGGAGTCAAGGCGTGGAAATGGGAATAGCACCACTCAGTCATCTCTTATTGACTCACTCCGAAAACTTTTTCTCTGACGGCCTAGAACTTTGAGTTCCAAGAGTAGACTGCTTCTGCCAGGGGACACAACGAGCATTCCACTGAACTGGAAGCTGGCTTCCCCTTTGCCCCTTTGGGCTCCTGATGCCTCTGAGTCAGCAGGGTCAAGAAAGGCTTTACAGCATTAGGATGTGTGGTTGATCCAGTCTACGGGGGTGGGGGATATTGGACGGCTTCTCCACGATAAAAGGAAAGTTAAGTGTGGAAAGTAAGGAATGTAAAGAGCAGGGGTTTCTCATGGGGTTCTCGTGTCCTGTGGTTCAGGACAAATAGGGAGCTACAACAACCCAGTCTGGGAACAACTATAAAGAAATCAGCTCCTCCAAGTAAAGAGCCGAGACTGTGGAGGTGATTGCTGGGGAGCGGGGGCTGTGGAAGGGGTAGTGGAATGGTAAGTAGCTAGACATATCAGTGAGGGCCACGTGATCAGTTACCGACCTGAGGGATGTAATTGTCATCAACTGTTCTATTCTACTGTGTTAGGAATGCATTTTTGGGGGGACAGCCAGGAGGGCTCAGCAGGTAAAGGCCCTTGCTTATAAGTCCGACAACCTGAGTTCAATCACTAGAAACTACATGATAAAAGGGGAAAACTGACTCTCGAAAGTTGTCCTCTGACCACACACACACACACACACACACACACACACACACACACACACACCACAGGCACTGTAGTGTGTATCCCCCCACCACATAGACAGATACCCCTAAATAAATATAAAACAAACTTAAAGAATGTTTTTATATGTATACATATACTAAATAGTGGTTTGTGCTTTCTTTCCTCTATCTTTTGACCATGTAATACAATACAATAGTAGTTAAGTGTCATAAATCTGTATTATTTATTGAAGTCATGGGATACTAAAGACATGAGAATTCCTCAAGCGGCTTTGCCATCTGTTCCTGGGGAAAGAGCAGTGCATTTACAGTTGTATACAGGATAGTTATATCAGAATTAGGGTTCTTCTTGTCTTCATTTGAACACTAAACGTGGCATAAGTTCTGTGACTGGTTACCAAGATGACACGTGGTGAAATTGTAATGGTTAAAAAATTGGTTGAACTCAGCATCCACTGTGGCATGGCTCTGTGAGTCTGTGATGGTATTTTCTGGAAGGATTAATTAAGTAGGAAAGACCCTTTCCCAGAGCGGACAGTGCGGCTGCCAGCCCAGACGCAAAGATGTCCAAGGAACTGCTTTTGCCTACTGGCCTTGGCTCCTTGTCGGTAAGTCCATCTCCCCCGGCTCCTTGTCGGTAAGTCCATCTCCCCCCCCCCCCACCGTTGACAGTGTCGCTACCATCCCTTACTAATGTCTAAGCCCACCTTCTTTGGTCTTTTAGCATGAGCAGCGGACCAGCGGTTCTCCAAAACTTAATATTTTATATATAAAGCAAAAGGAACCCTTTATACAGGATTTGTGAGCAATTAAGACCTTTAGTTCCAAGTTCCAAGGACAGTGTGATGTCCAGCACGCTAGCCTCCAAGAAGTTCTATCTGAGAAAAGTTCCTGA